CTTTTCTTGACCAATTACAACTGCAGACATTACCAGAGGAGGATAAAACAATGCTGGATAGTCCACTAACAATAGAGGAACTTCTAGAGGCAATAGGTGACATGAATAGTGGTAAAGCACCTGGGCCAGATGGGTTGCCAATAGAATTTTATAAAGAATTTAAAAGTAAATTGGTTCAGCCCCTTCTAGACATGTATAATGAATCATATGAATTGGGAATGTTGCCAGACTCATTGAGAATAGCTACTGTAACTCTTATATTAAAACCTAACAAACCACCAACAGAATGCTCCTCCTACAGGGGAATAAGTCTCATGGAATGTGACACTAAGATATTATGTAAGGCTCTTGCCAAGAGACTAGACAAATATTTACCTAAATTAATAACTAATGATCAACAAGGTTTTGTCAGAAATGGACAGGGATATCACAATATCAGGCGGGTCCTGAATATACTATATGAAAAACATAACACTAAAGACACTGCAATGTTATCACTGGATGCACGCCAAGCATTTGATAGAATAGAATGGAACTATCTCCTAGAATTACTTCCAAGATATGGGTTGGGTGAGTCATTTCTCCAATGGATTCGACTACTATATACAAATCCTACAGCACAAATTCTAACTAATGACAATGTTTCAAAACCATTTAACCTACAGCGATCGACCAGACAGGGATGCCCTTTATCACCACTACTTTTTACATTAGCAATAGAACCTCTGGCTGTAGCGGCGAGAACACATGAAGGGATATCAGGCATAGAAATTGGAGGAAGAGAACACCTTATTTCTTTATTTGCAGATGACATTATATTTTTTTTGACAGATTTAAACAAGAGCATCCAAAACCTGACAAGATTATTGGAAGACTTTGGAAAATTTTCTGGTTATGAAATTAATAATTCTAAATCTGTTTTAATGTTTCTTAATGAGGAAGAGAGGAAGAACCCCACAGTAACAACACCTTTTGCTACAACTAGTGAAGGTTTCAAATATCTGGGCGTTAAAATTACTCCTGATCTCAATAAAATAATCTCATCAAACTACAACCCCTTGATAGATCAGGTCACTCAACTATTAAACCGATGGTCTGGTCTGCCTATATCTATGATGGGGCGAATTAATATTATAAAGATGTCAATTTTACCTAAATTTTTGTACCTTTTCCAAACACTTCCTCTACCATTACCAACACTGTTTTATGATAATTTAGCTAAGTTGTTTAATCAGTTTATCTGGGACAACAGGAAAGCGAGACTTCGCCTAAAACTGCTATATCAACCATATGAGAGAGGGGGACTCCAGCTTCCAAATCTTAGGTGGTACTATATGGCTGCCCAGTTAACATCAGCTACACATTATTTTAGTGCATCACCTCCATCTTGGGTAAGCATTGAAAGAGAATCCGTTCCATTGTCCTTACATAGCTATATATATTCCTCAGATGAAAAAAGACTTAAAAAACAAACAAAAAATCCCTTCCTGAAAAACACCATTTTAGTGTGGCATGCTGCACACAAACAAATGGGGGACTTTCCAGTAATCTCGCAATTCACCCCAATCTGGGGTAATGAACAGTTCACTCCTGGTAAAAAAGATGGGGGGTTTAAATTATGGCATGCAAAAGGTATACAGAGAATGATAGATCTATATATGGATGGAGTGTTGCTAACCTTCAGACAATTGTGTGAAAAATATCAAATCCCTTCAAAGCACTTCTATAAATATCTGCAGTTAAAACATTTCATCTCATCCAGATACAAACTGTTTACACACGTCCCACCATTATCAAAAATAGAAGAAGTCTCCCTTGGGCGTATGGGAAGGAAACACCTACTTTCTATCTATTATAACTTGCTTATATCTACTTCTAAAGAATCTGCAGTGGACAGGTTAAATGCCTGGAAAGATGACATACAAGAAGACATAACTGAAATTGATTGGAAGGCGGCCTGTTTAAAGGCACAAGTACAGACAATAAATACAAGTTCTAAACTCCTCCAATATAAATGGTTAATGAGAACATATATGACCCCTGTCAAACTTCATCATATGTCTGGCAACATTCCAGACACTTGTAGTAAATGTATAGATAACAAGGGAACCCTTTTTCATTGTTTGTGGGAATGTCCATTGATACAGAAGTTTTGGAAAGATGTTATAAATTCTCTGTCAGAGACCTTTCATCTTAACATACCACTGAATGCTAAGCTATGTATACTTGGGATCTATCCATTGAACTTTATAAAAATGCACAGAAAGACTAGATTGGTGGACTTTGGACTTCTACAAGCCAGGAGGGTGATTGCACTTAATTGGAAAAGTGTAGAGGCTCCTTTAATGAAACATTGGGTAAAGGAGCTTTCCAAGTGCCTTGGACTGGAAAGACTAACATATATTGCTAAGGGAAAACAGAAAGAGTTTCATAATCTCTGGGAACCATATATGAACATTATAGAGTCTGAGATATAATGTTGATAATGTTTATCTATCCTAAGTTGTTCTGTATTTTTTTTTTATTTTTATTTTTTTTAATGTTTTATTTATTTATTTTTCATTATATTTTAAAGTGGGATCCTTATTACAATGGAGTATTTGATTTCAAATGTATATATTTCTTAAGCTAAGTTGTATATAGGTGGAATTTGCAGGTGTAGCCTAGATCTGTGTGTGTGTGTGTGTGGGGGGGGTGTTATGTGTTAATGTTCTGTTTTGAATTGTTATGCAATGCAAAAAATCAATAAATATATTGGAAAAAAAAAAAAATAAAAAAATAAAAAAATAAAAAAATAAAAAAAAATAAAAAGGGTTGTTATTAGTTATTATAAATAAATACTATTCATTTTTAATTGAATGTAATTGAACACACAAATATTTTAACACAAAGTCGGTCCTGGAACCAGTTAAATTAGTATGTAGTGGCTCTATGATAAATAAATAATCCATAAAAAGGGGTGTTATTAGTTATTAAAAATAAACACTATTCATTTCTAATTGAATTTAATTGAACACACAAATATGTTAACATAGGACGTCGGTCCTGGAACCAGTTAAATTAGTATGTAGTGGCTTTATGATAAAGAAATAATCCATAAAAAGGGTTGTTATTAGTTATTATAAATACATACTATTTATTTCTAATTGAATTTAATTGAACACACAAATGTTTTGACACACAAAGTCGGTCCTGGAACGAATTAGATTCCTATGTAGAGGTTTTAGCCTGTTTTACTTTACAGGCTAAAAGGAAGAGAAACAAAGCGAATCAGAAACTAGAGAATAACTAGAGAATAAACTCAGCCTGGAACTGACCGTGGTTTCGTTGATGACCTTCTCCAGCATGCTCAGCTCCACCTCTGTGAATATCTGGTCCTCCTCCGGGATCAGCTTAGCGCTCCTGTAAAGAAAAGGGGGCAACAGTCAGAAACCAGCCCCGTTTCCATGGAGATCGAGATCAATCACGGAGATGGCCGAGGAAGATGGCCGCCCACCCTGAGCCATGGTTCTGCTCCAGGTTTCTGCCTGTTAAAAGGAAGTTTTTCCTTGCCTGTGTCGCCTAGTACTTGCTCACGGTGGGAATTGTTGGGTTTCTGTAATTTTTCATTTATTTATTTATTCGTTTATTTGATAGGGACAAGTATGTTTCATGAAACATGTCACACACTACAATATTTTAGCTAAGGCTAATTCTCAATGCCTGTCCCCAGTTAGGCTTTTACACAAAACACAGTGACTGTACACAACAGAACAAATCACATACCAAAACATCACAAATACAAGATCAGGACAGTTAGATTATTAATGTCCACATGTCTGACCACTCAATAAAAAGTCTTTAAGTTTATGTTTAAAAAGGACCCAGTAATCAACTTCAGAGTAGGGTCTGACCTGCTCTGTTTGGAAAGCACTGTGAGACAACGAGGTTTCTGCCTGTTAAAAGGAAGTTTTTCCTTGCCTGTGTCGCCTAGTGCTTGCTCATGGTGGGAATTGTTGGGTTTCTGTAATTAACTTCAGAGTAGGGTCTGACCTGCTCTGTTTGGAAAGCTGTGAGACAACTGTTGTAGTGATGTGGTGTATATAAATAAAATTGAATTGAATTGAATGTGGGGGTTCCCCTCACCCAGGACGGCGTGCAGGTCGTGCACGTAGACGAATTTTGTAATTCTTTAATAAGCAGCGTTCTGTGCGGGTTTTTTTCATTAAAAATTTTTAGATTTTACTCCGATGTTACAAAATAAATACTACATGTGGGGTACATGTGGAAAAGGAAGTTTTTCCTTGCCTGTGTCGCCTAGTGCTTGCTCATGGTGGGAATTGTTGGGTTTCTGTAAATAACTTCAGAGTAAGGTCTGACCTGCTCTGTTTGGAAAGCTGTGAGACAACTGTTGTTGTGATGTGGCGCTATATAAATAAAATTGAATTGAATTGAATTGGTGTGGTGGTTAGCACTGTCGCCTCCCAGCAAGAGGGTTCTGGGTTGGAGTCCCGGGGGAACCAGGACCAGAGGGTTCTGGGTTTTAGTCCCGGGGGAACCAGGACCTTTCTGGGTGGAGTCTGCATGTTCTCCCTGTGTCTGTGGGTTCTCTCCGGGTTCTCCGGCTTCCTCCCACCGTCCAAAAACCTGCATGTTAGGCTGATTGGAGATTGGGGAAATTGCCCTTAGGAGTGAATGTGAGTGTGTGTGGTTGTTGGTCCTTGTGTGTCTCTGTGTGTCCCTGTGATGGACTGGCGGACTGTCCAGGGTTTACCCTGCCTCTCGCCCGTTGACCACTGTGATAGGCTCCAGTTCCCCTGCGACCCCATTAGGGAATAAGCGGTATTGATAATGGATGGATGGATGGATGGATGGATGGATGGATGAATTGAAATGGCCGCCAACCCCCCCCCC